GCTGGATCCGCCCCTGGGAGCGATTAGAGGAGACAGATGGAGACCGTGAAAGATCATTTCAGGTTCCCCACATCGAGAAAGAAAAGCATTCAGTCACATTCGTGGAACGCCCGCCAGAGCGGCTGGATGTGGACATTCTCTTCGGCACAGAGGAACACTATCTGCTAATGAACTTCATTGAGTGCGCCACATCGCTGAGCAAGTGGATCAAGATTCTAGCGATCAGCCACACTTTGGAGGCAAGTCTAGTTGTAAATAACCGCCCCATTCGAATTGTATCTTCTCCAGACCGACCTGTACGCGCTCGCCTCCATAACGGACGCCTGTCTGGAAAGCATTCACCCCCAAGGGAAGATCCTAACCGGTCCAGCCCTTCGATCCGAATTCTCCAAGCTGGTGGAATCCGTTAAGCAGCTATACGAAGAAAGTTGCTGTCTGTTGCACGATCGAAACGATAAGTTGAAGCTGCGCGAAGACTTGGAAAGCAAACTGAGCGTCAGCTTGGCCAACGTGGAGCTGGAACTGAGGAAGTGCGTTTTGTTCGAAACGTCGGAGGGCAGCATGGTGCGTGCCAATCAAACCAGCCATTCCCTTTAATTATGCGCCTTCTTTAGGTGTGCCTGCAAGCGGTTCCGGAGGAAAGCGAGCACAAGAGAAAGGGGATGTTTTGGCTGAAGTTCAGGAAAAGCGTGTCTTCGGAGCGGCGCTCCTCCAGTTGCAAACGAGAGGTGGCTTCGTGGGGAACCCACGAAGTAGCCACTTGGTTGGACACTCTCCAGCTCACTGAGTATATTGACAGCTTTGAAAAGAACGATATTAGAGGCCGGGAGCTCCTCACTTTGGCCAGGAGAGATCTGAAGGACTTAGGAGTGACAAAGGTAATTAAACAGCAATACAGGCTGAGAATACAATGCTGATTCATTTGCAGGTTGGTCACGTGAAACGAATTTTACAAGCAATCAAAGACTTGTCTCAAGGAGTCTAAAACCAAAGCAAATTGAACTTCAGACCATATCAAATGCGACGAAACGGGTTATAAGCCGGCAAATTCCAAAAGTAAATGTTCCTTAGAGTTAGGGGAACACATTCAACCCAACCCACAATTCCACTAGGTATTTATAGCGATTAGTTTCCGTTTTTGGAGAAGCATTTTTTACCTCCCCACTTGAGTAGTGTCTAAGTTAAACCGACCTCTTTCGAAAAATTACGTGTTGAATGTGAGATAATTATTAGATATATATTATATAGACCCACTGTGATTTCCGAAATGTGTTACTTCTAAACAGTAAGTCAACCTAGGCTAAGCCACTCTAACTTAAGTCCTTAATGAAACCTTTCGCTTCTAATGACTAGTGTTTACTAAAGTGTATTCTGTGGGAGATGTTTTTCGACTGGTGCTATTTAGGAACTTAGATAGATGAAGTGAGGAAGCGTGTCGAAGTGATTGTGGCAGAGAAACAGCAAAATTGCCGCTAATTCTTTCCATTCCCCAGGGACTTGGATTTGAAGCATTTTCAGCCACAATTCCTACCGTAAATAGCTGATGTGTGTGCCGTAATGATTGCTGATATACACTTTGTAATAATCTCTATGTACAAACTTCTACATGTAAAGCAATTGTACTTAATATAGCAATATTGTACTTACACTCTTGGAAACACTGCGAAAATAGTCGATGATATTCCGCTACACTGAAGGTGTCTTATAGGGATGAGCAGGTCTTCTAAAGCTGAGAAAATCTGCTTCAGTCCTATAGAACCCATTTATTACATGTAGATACTACTGGCCTCACCACAAACCCGATCATTTTCCCTTTAAATGTGCTGACAATCATCTGTGGTGTGTTTAGTAAAGCCTTAAAACAAAATTCAAAATGATGGATACTCTGATGTTTGTAACAATACCCGAAACACTATCAACCCATCAAAACTCTCGAATCGTTGTTTCGTGGTAAACGTAAGTACAAAGTCGGATGGATGGAAGGGAAGTTCTAGCAACAGCAGAACTACTTGCATTCATTTTTAGCATTTAGGATCTAATTAATCGTAAGAAGATGGTATTTTATTGGAGAAAAGAGCGATATTTAGGTAGGATAAGTACCCTAGAACGCCTTAACTGTACTATACTGTGTTATATATAAAGTCCTGGTCTGTTTGAAGATTTGCAGATTGTCTGAGGCGGTTTGCAAATTTTCACGCGATCTGTGTGTGACCTTCAAGGCTATGGTGAGCGAAAACAAAGTAATGAAAAAGCAAAAACTCACCATAACCAGTTCTACCAAGAAATCAGCTCTAAGCATTTATGTATGATCTCAAACCTGTTAGGATGTAGGGGTATTTTTGTAGGCTCTCATTGGGGTCGGTCATGCACGAGTATACTTCCTAGTCAAATTGCATACATAATGCGTGTTTTTCTTATATCGAAATCTATAAAGTGTACATACAGGGTCATGTAATTCATTATCGACTATTTCGGTTAGGAGTCGTTATTGCCATATAAGTTTAGAACTTTTGAGCCCGTCGCGGTTGCTCAATAAATACGCACATGCACATGCAAAAAACGTATTTAGATTTTATTGTTATTCAAACCGCGTCTCACAAATACCTACAAATATTTATAATAATTGCTATGCACTGCATAGGTATTTCTATAGTAAATTTGAGTGGTGATTTTTATTTATTTCGTGAGTATTTGCTCGCGCTCTGCGCTCGCCTGCAAGTTTTGATAAAATGTCTTGCAATGACTTAAGCCCGTGTCCCATGCATCCGTTTGTACGATGATACGATGGTGCGAAAGTGTTTCTATTGGTTGGAGAAGTGTCAATTCGTCCACGTCTACGGACGAATTGACAGTTCTCCAACCAATAGAAACACTTTCGCACCATCGTATCATCGTACAAACGGATGCATGGGACGGGCTTTAAACTTCAACTACGCACCGCTACTGCTTGCAGCTTAATTCAACCAACATTTGAATTTCACTAGCTATCATTTCATAGCATCTACAGGCCAAACAGTCATTAGATTCGGGCTAACTTGTATGGCAATAAAGGCCTGACGAAAAAAACATCGGCGCTGGCGCCAAACCAACTTATCTTAATCCATTTCTATCTTGCTAAGACTCATTTATCGTACCCCCATATAGTTTAGATTAGATGAATTCATTACATCGCTTGTTTAAATGTTGAATCACACCTAGACTTAGTGAATAGATAAGTCCCTTAACATTTGGTTCGGCCTTCATTAATACTCGAAACCTTATATTGTTAGCTGTAAGAGGTAAAGTGTGTAGCCCGAACTTAACAAGACCTTTAAATGTAAGTCATTCCAATTTTCATGTTTGATTAGAGTCTAAAGCCCGTGAAACACTGGCGTTCCATCGTATAAACGGATGCATGGGATACGGGCTTAAACGTGTGGGTTCGCAATACAAGTTCGTTTTCTTTGTACTTTTTATAGTATTTTTTATAGAGGGTTTTTAATTGTAATAATTCTAGTTAGGGTAGGAATAAGGAACTGGCATTTTAGTCACTCTTGACTTTCCATAATTTTTCCCACAATTCGTTACACCCATATATTAAACAGTTTGCGCGCTTAGTACGAATGCTTTGAACGGGCAAAGACTGACATTAAACACAATTAATTGAAGTTTTTTCTCTCTATCAGACCATTTTCTGGAAATTAAAGTTCTTATAGCTGTCTGTAATTTATTTCTTTGCTAAGCACGAAGTTCATTGATCCACTAAGATTATAAACATCATTCAAATTCACGCTAAAGTCGTGTGTGTAAAGTGAGGCAGATTCGAAACATTTACCTATACTGAAGACACTTAGATTATCTATAGAATAAAAGGAATTCTAAATCGGGGCTCAATTTAGAATTCATCCATTAAGCACAGTGAAGATACATAGATAGTTTTCGTCTTCCAGTAAAACAATTTTTTCAGAATCTACAAAACCTATATGAAGAAACTGGTTACTCAATAGAACGCTAAATCTGGCTCACCATATACTTGAGAAAAGCCCCCAAAAAAATTCCCACGTAATGTTTCATAACGAACCAATACTGCCCAATTAAATTGAATGGACCCTGAAATATTTGTGATATGCAATCGTTGAACGTTGAAATAACCACTCTAGCAATACATTATACGAATAGAACAATCATCTAGGAATTTCACGACGAAACAATTATTAACGAATATTAATTAACCAATTTTCCGCCGTTTTCACCTAACTGCGACTTAGTCTATAAGACCTAGTTTGGATTTCTGTATTAGTGTTCACAAATATGAGTTATTACTTATTGCGCAATTCAATACACAAGTTAAACAATCGCTACTAGGCAAAATTGAGAAACACACTCTCAGTCCCTGAACATTCAAATTCTGCAATACAAATAAAGTTATTTGAGAAACTATTTTAACTGAATTGCGCAATAAAATTGACAATTAATTGCGACCTATACCCAAATAAGTCCGCTCTTTCTTCCAATTCCTCTCACCCTTTAGGATATCCTATTTTTATGTTATTTATTCAGTCGCCGTTTCGGTTTTAGATGTTTATAAAAATGTATCTGATGAATTAAAAAAATCATATTATCTTAAGTAAGGCTTTTATTCAAACACAAGTCCAACCGTCTGATCGTGTTCTCTTTGCCCAGGATCTCCATCATCTCAGCTATACCGGGCCCTTCCTGAATAAAAAAAACAGTTTTATTTATGTTGACTAGATTGAGGCAAGCAGCTCACCTGTAATCCACTCAAAATCTTTCTGAGGCTCTTCATAAAAAGTCCATACTTCAAGTTGTGCTCTTTGCTGGTCTGCTTCAAAAGCACATTTAATTTTTCCTTGTTAAACTCAGAAGTGCTGCTCAACTGTTGCTTGAGACTTGGAAGAGCGCTGAAGATATTTTGATCCACATTGTACGACTCTGGTATGGTCCAGATGAAGGCTAAACCCGGCGAAAACAGCTCTGGAAGATTCTGGATTCTTGTCAGTGCCCAACTTAACACTTTGCTGATGTAGTCGTCGGATAGTTGCGCTGAGATGTCCCCATGACTAAAAACAGATGATGGAGGACAAGGGCGGATCCAGGGGGGGTCATGGGGGCCTCCCCTCCCCCCATTCAATTCTCTATCCAACGATGCTAAAACGAATTCTCTGGCTCGAATGGTTCTTGAGAAACTTCGAAAAAAGCAGCGTCATGTTCAAG